TCCGGTGCAGGCGGCGGAGCGCGCCCAGCCCGGCCGCGCTCATGCTTCCGCAGCACCAGCTGCGCAGGAACCGACCACGTGCAGCTACGCCGCCAGCCTCCAGGCCCGCCGAGGGCCCCTGGGGAGACGGCTGCTGCCGCGTGCAGCAGGCACCGCCCCCGGGGGAGGAGTCTCAGCGGCGCTGCCCCTGCGGGGGCCGGCGGCCGCACCAGCCGCTGCAAGAGATAGCGGGGCGCTGCCCTCCCCCGCCTCGTCTGCCGCCGGGGCGCTCTGCGACGTGCACCTGAGAGACCGCTAGTACGTGCGCCACACACTCTCCCCCGCCCCCATGTAGACATACACACGTGCACGCCGCGCCACTTTGTAGGTGTATATATTGATACACACACCACCCCTACCTGCTAGACCAGCTACACACGTGTACACCCCCCCACACCACGTTGTATGTGTATATGTACACACCCCCCACCTGACAGACTAGCTACATATGTGCATACACTTACATACATGCACACACATCACATTGTATGTGTATATATTTATGCACACACCTTGTACGTGCTAGACTAGCTACACACATATACACACATACACATGCACACACCACCTATGTGTATACATTTACACACACACACCACCTGATAGACTAATTACACACATGCATAAACACACACCTGATAGACTAGCTTTTATATACATACATACATATACATATAAAATGTATCAATGTATATAATAATATACACTGTACTACATAGTATTATTTATATAGTATTTTATATAATATATATCAATCTATTTATCAGCTGGTCTATCAGGTGCAATTTTACCCTGCTTTCTACTTGACTTCAGTCTAACACAACTGTCTGTCACAACTAGGTGCAGTGAGCTGCAGTGTCACCAGGTGCGGTGAGGCTGTGTTGGGGCCTTAAGGAAGGCGATCCACACCCACCCCAGGTGCGTGAAAACTAAGAGCCAGCATGTATAGATCTACTTTAGTTAGTTTATATGGTGCAAATTTACCTTTCTTTCTCTATCCATCCATCCAGCACAAGCTATCATGGGTTAGAGCTCACTTCATCAGATGCAGTGTAACAGGAGCAGTGTGTAAGACAGCGGTTTGAATACAAAGGCAGCAAGGAAGTGGGGCCAATGCTGAGAGAAGCAAACAAGCAAAGAACCCATAGGAACAACAGAGGCACAAAAGCTAATGCAGGTAATGGGATAAATACCCATAGTCCCAATTTAAATCATACTTAACGATTTAGTCTATGGATGATTTTTTTTTCTGCAAGCTCCCCATTCAACTAGTTTTTTAAAGGTTTGCTGAGAACAGCAACCTGATTCAGACATCAGTTAGGGTGCTGTGGCATCTTGGGGTACTGGAGATTCTTACAGGGGTGCTGCACAGTGTTAACACTGAGATAATCCCAGAGATTTCAAACAAGATATTAAAAACTTTCTGACCTGTTGTGGTCTTTCTAATTGCTCTATAGTTTTTCTGCCCTCAAAAGACAAGTTATAAGTAAAAGCTGGCACTTTTCAAGGGATGCCTTGAGTCTAGAAAGGTTGAGAACTACTGGCTTTTAGGAAGCCACTTTTGAATTACAAAGCTGTAAACTGATGGTGCCCAACTTTTTGCCCTATGGGCTGGATGGGCAATACCCGGTCCATTTGTGGGCTGGATCTGACCAGGTGCCTGATTTGGTGCATAGGGTGGGCAAGGACCCAACCCACCCACGTGGAGGTGGGGCAGGGATGAAGGGCCCAGCCCCAACCCCAGCCTTGCCCCATGGGGTGAGGGGCTATTGCCCAAGGCAGTATGGGAAAGGAGAGGGAGGCCCAGCCTCAACCAAGCCACATGGAGCTTGGGCATTCGGTATTCATTGCTACTGCTCCCCCACTGCCAAATCTCCTGACCCACAGGCCAGATTTGGCTTGGGGGCTAGGGGTTGAGCACCCCTGCTTTAAACAATCTAACCTACATTTAGGTCTGCTGACAACTAATATAAGGACGCAACTTTTGCCAAAAAACTAAAAAGGACACTCAGAATTTGTCTATCCTGCAGTTTCAGGTGTGACCGCATCTCCTGTAGAAATACCCATGATGCAGACCCCTAAAAATTTTCAAATGGAGGTGTGGACCCCTTTGGAAATTTCAAGTGGAGGTGCCCTTTTGACTTTTAAGTGGGTATTCATATACTTTTTATTAATCATATTCATCTTTCATGGACCCCTTAGACATAGTCTGTGGATGTCCAGAGGTCAGTTGACCACAAATTGAAAACCACTGTTTTAGATACATTATGTCCACAAAGAACATTAAGAGTTAAATGAATGGGTAAGGTAAATCTGGAGATAGATACTAGCAAGTACCAGTAGGTTCCTACATAACGTAGAGCTGTGCAAAGGTTTGGTCGCTGATTTGATTTGGTGGAGATTTGGCACGATTCAGTGGCTGAATCTCCAAATCCGAATCGAATCAGGAGACCCTTTAATCTCTTTGAATTTTATTGGAACTCAGCAAATAGATTGATAGAGATTCAGAAAGATTTGACGATTTGGACACAGACACAGCTTTAAATGTTTTTTCTACATACCTCTAGGTACCAGGCGGCTCGTGAACACTGAGATGGTGGGGCGGATGGAGCGTCCCAACGGAGGGGGAGGGGGCTGGTCTCCAGCGCGCTCGGTGCTGAACCCGGAAGTACTTCTGGTCCACTTCTGGGTTTGCTGCCAAGCACATGCCCCACTCCCGGCACTCCTGTGGGATGCTCCATCCACTCCACCATCGAAGCAATCATGAGCCACACCTGGTACCTTGAGGTATGTGGAAAAAACATTTAAAGCTGTCTATGGCTGAATCACTGATTCTCTGAATCAGCATCAAATGTTCAGATTCGGCTGAATCGAATCAGGGACAGTGATCCGAATCAATGAATCAAATCACTGCCCCGATTTGGGCCCAATCCAAATCAAATATGGCCTGCTTCGCACACCCCTAACAAAGACAATGAATATGGTTTGGAAATGTAGCGACACCAGAAGCAGGCAAAAATTTTAGAAACAAGCCTTTCACTAGAAACCCCTAGGGAAGAGATGTCAAGGAAGACTAAGAATATCATGGCAACAAACCGTTTACAAATATACGAGGCAGATAGGGAACATCTGGGAAGAAGAATGTATAAG